GACAGGAAGTTGTTCTGTAAACATCTGCAGACAGACAGGAAGTTGTTCTGTAAACATCTGCAGACAGACAGGAAGTTGTTCTGTAAACATCTGCAGACAGACAGGAAGTTGTTCCATAAACATCTGCAAACAGGAAGTTGTTCCATAAACATCTGCTTACAGACTGGAAGTTGTTCCATAAACATATGCTTACAGACAGGAAGTTGTTCCATAAACATCTGAAAATAGGAAGTTGTTCTATAAACATCTGCAAACAGGAAGTTGTTCCATAAACATCTGAAAATAGGAAGTTGTTCCATAAACATCTGAAAACAGGAAGTTGTTCCATAAACATCTGCAAACAGGAAGTTTTACAAACATCTGCAGGCAGTTGAACATCCACTTCCACCTGGTTGATCTCGTTAGATTGTGCTAACGGCTAACAATCTGCTGCCTGTAATTAGCTCGGCTGYAGAATGACCGTTAACCTTTGGGCAGATCCACCTGAGGAAACTCTGCTTCTCCACAGTAAAAGCTGAAGAAGCACAGGGTTCTGTAAGTTCTGTTCCCTCATCACAGCTTCATATTGCTCTGTCTGGTTCTTCAGAGCAGAAGGTGTCTCAACTTGACGTTTTATTTTCATCCATCAGGTGTGAAAGCCCACCTGATGAAACCGGTTCCTGTAGAACCTCAGAGGAGCTTCAGACTCCAGCCATTGTTAAAAGTTTTAATAAAATCCTGCTTCTGCTGTAAAACAAACTGTGTGAGGTGAGATTTCTGCCTGAGGAAAATGTCTTTTTGCAGGACTCACTGTACCCTGACTTTTTATTATTTTTTTATTTGAAAAAAAAAAAACTAACATTTTATCTGTAGAAAATGAGCTCACAGTTCTGCTGAATGGATGTGTGTGTTTGAAACTATTTAAATGACCTCAGTTTGCAGAACAAGCTCATTCTTCACCAGACTAACAGCTAACCGGAGCTATAACTGTTTTCATGAACCACTGAATTAAAACAATATTTATCTGGAGTCAGAATAAAGAACAAAAAATATATTTTATTAAATGAAAAATATGAATTATTTTGTTAAAACAAAAAGCAAAGAAGCAGTAAGTTTCCTAACAGTTAACGAGCAGAAAGGAAGCAGGTGTTTCTGATTGGAAGCCTCAGGACAGGTGTGTTTGTTCCTGAGTGACATCATGAAGAGTCAGAGTAAGAGCTGCTTCAACTCTTTAACATATTTACATGTTTAGTGTTGATTCTCTTTATTTACATGTTTAGTGTTAGTTCTGTTTATTTGTTTACATGTTTAGTGTTAGCTTATGTTTATTTATTTGTTTACATGTTTAGTGTTAGTTCTGTTTATTTACATGTTTAGTGTTAGCTTATGTTTATTTGCATGTTTAGTGTTAGCTTATGTTTATTTGTTTACATGTTTAGTGTTAGTTCTGTTTATTTACATGTTTAGTGTTAGCTTATGTTTATTTGCATGTTTAGTGTTAGCTTATGTTTATTTGTTTACATGTTTAGTGTTAGTTCTGTTTATTTACATGTTTAGTGTTAGTTCTGTTTATTTACATGTTCAGTGTTAGTTCTGTTTATTTACATGTTCAGTGTTAGTTCTGTTTATTTACATGTTCAGTGTTAGTTCTGTTTATTTACATGTTCAGTGTTAGTTC